CTGGTTTAATTGCTATGCGTATCAAGCTTGCCAACACTAAACTTGCCCCATTTGTGGGCGCTGCTGCATTGAAAGGTCTCTGTAATTCTTGGGCCACCAGTGCCAGGCATCGTCAGGGGCGGAATGCCTGTCTGTTCAGGTGCCGAGCGTGTGGTGGAGACCAGATCGCCCAGTATTTTGATTGCCCGTGTGCCCTCGAGCCGCTCTGTCTAGTTCTGCCCCATCTTCCCGCTGACTTCCTCTCCTGGGCGGCCTTGGACCGCTTGCTGCTTCGCAGTCGTAATACGCATTCCTCACCCGCCTTGTACTCTACCATGCTTGCTCACGATCTTTTATTCAGCACGTTCAATTCTCTCAGGAGCTTGAAACGGTTCGGCCCTGAATGCATACTCACCTTTTTTATAAAGCTCGTGCGAGGGCTATCTCGAAGCGGAAACCTCACATCCGAGCTCTGTTTCAACGTTGACATGTGTTCCTGGGGATCTGGAGCTTGAAGGGGCCGCGCCATCATTTATGCTGATATCTCCAGGAACACGTTGATGTTCCCTCCTGAGCCCCGAACTGTGTTACCACCAGGGGATTAAAATCAGGAGCACAGGGGTTAACGTCCTGATCTCTTCTCCGGATATGCCCTCAATGGCCTCCGAGCTCTGGGAAAATATTCCTGATAATTGAGCGCGGGGAGGCCTTCGAAATATGTTGGAGGCTCGCTGCGGATCCCCATCCTAGCGGCGAGGGCTCTGGCTATTTGCTTCCCCTGGTGATCAATCTTAGCAAGGAGCAGCGCCACCTCTTTCTCGTGTTCAACTGCCCTGGCCAGATTGGCCGCGGCCTTCATCAGGGCCTGGATCGACTGCTCACGTGTCTGGGTCGCGTCACGAACGGCTCCTGCATCACGCTTGACTGCTTTCATCAGGCGCGCCTCCACTTCCGAGTGCAGTCACGATGTCGCTCTACAACTTCGAGGCTTGTGCCCGCAGAGATGCCTTGAGCGTGATGCCTTCGGTGACGGGCGCTGCTAACTGAAACGCCTCCATCTGCGAACCGTTTGTATCACTAGAAATTGCGTGTCTTGTCGACGGGGCCGAACCAATTGGCCCATCAAGCGCGGCAACATTGTCTCCACCTCTTATGCCACCTGATTTCTTCGTAGGGTTGTCCCGACGCAGTGTCAGCCAGGTACACACGAACAGCGAATATGCCCAGCAGCCAGGAGATCATTCCATTCAATTTGCTCACACTTCGGGCAACGAGTCTACAAACGACGGATGCTGCCCTTGCCATATGACGTTCCAACCTACTGCAGCTTTGATCACCCGCAAGAATTTCGAACACCAAGGAACTACCGAAACTACAGGGTTTCAGGTAACGGGCCCTGGGTGGCGCATTTGTTCGACAGTGTTTCGATATTGTTCGGGGTGTTCGAACTTACTTTTGGGATGTGGTCCTGAAGTAAGGTGAAGCCACCACATCCCTTGCCTCTGTTTTTCCCTTTGTTGCCTCTCGCTCCCATGGCTGAGACATTGGGTGGGTTATGGGGCCCCTCCAGCCGCCGCCCGGGCAGCACAGCGCACGGGCGCCCCGATCACTTCGAGGAAAGCTGGGACGAGGCCGAGAACGACCGCCTGTTGCTCGGGGTCGGGAAGACGTGATGCTCGTGCACATATGGCTTGAGGAGGAGGAGGAGGAGGAGGAGGAGGAGGAGGAGGAGGAAAAAGGATAAGAGGAGGAGGTCGAGATGGAGGCGGGAACGGAACAGGAGGACAGAGAGAAAAGAGGATGGAAAAGAGGAGGAAGGCCCGCCTTGGTGAGGAGCAGGGGGACGGAAGGGAAGGAGGGGTGGAAGAGGAGGAGGTGGTAGAGGAGGAGGGTGAAGAGAAATGGACAACGGCAGGAGGAGGATACGCATGTGCAGGAGGACGAGGAATGGGAGGAATTGGTGGGTTTTCGCAGGACGGAGGAGGAACATATCAGGACGAGGAGGAGGAGTTTTCGAACCTCGACCCCTTGCGGGCGCGGCGGCTTTGTGCATGCGGGGGGGTCGATTCGTTCCCCTCTCTCCCTCGCTACCTCCTTCGGGCGGAGGCACATCCCCAGGTTTCCGAGATTCCGGCTTCTGGGATTCTTTATCGGGCCTCATGTTTATCAGACATGGCCCCGGGGAAGGGGTCGCGACATCTCGGGTCTTGGCGAGGAGGTCGACGATGCGTTCCCGAGCTGGAGTGGAAGTTGGAGATGTTGCGGGCGGGACTCTAGCAGACAGGGGGGCCACGCCACCAGGAGGGCCCTCTTTGGCTCCTCGCGCCGGTTGTGTCGGTGCCGATTCTTTTGGCACCTGGCCCCCATGCTTTCCTCCTCCCTAGGAGACAATGCCGAAGTGCGGCGTGTTTGGGACCTTTAGGCCTCCAGAGGCCCAACGGGGGCCTTGTTTCAAAAAAGCCTCGATTCTCCAGTCCTGATTCTCGAGCCTGCCTGCCTTCGCCTCGCCCAGGGGCCTCCAGAAGTCTCTGAGGAGGCATCAAGGGGGGCCCAGGCCACGCAGGCCCAGAAATCCTTCGATCCTCTTTCCTTCTGTCTCTCTCCGTCTTCTTGCCAGCGGGGTGGTTCTTCGATGCGTCAATCGTTAGACCCTCCGATCCTCGGATCCAAGTCCTCGAAACCGAACAGTCTACACGTAATTTAACAATGAGGACCGCACGGAATTCCGAAAGTGTAAGTTTATGTACTTCCTGTGTGTGTCAGAGTGAAGGGACCAAACGGTCATTCATTGTCATTGGGCACGTGGATGAAGTGGGATTCCGCTGTGCTGATTATTATTATTTTTGTTGTTGTGAGTATGTTGTTGTTGTTGTTGTTGGTGGTGTTGGTGTTGGTGTTGGTGTTGGTGTTGTTGTTGTTGTTGTTGTTGTTGTTGTTGTTGTTGTTGTTGTTGTTACTGTTATGGTTTGTGTTGTTGTTGTTGCGAATGGTGTTAATAGTGTGAATGGTGTTGCTGCTGTTGTTGTTGCTGATGGTGCTGTTGTTGCCGTTAGGGTTTATTGTTGCTGTTACTGTTGCTGTTGTTGTTGTTGGTGTTGTTGTTGTTGTTGTTGTTGGTGTTGTTAGTGTCATTGTTATTGTCGGTATGGTTGTTGTTGCTGTCGGTGTTGGTGTTGTTATTGTTATTGTTATTGGTGTTATTGTTGGTGTTGTTGTTGTTGTTGTGTTTCTTGTTGTTCTTGTTGTTGTTTGGCGTTTGTCCCTGTCGCGACCCACACGCGACCAACCCCGCTACCCGCCCGCGACCCACCCGCGACCCACCCCGCGACCCTCCCGCGACCCACCCGCGACCCACCCCCGCGACCCGCCCGCGACCCACTCGCGACCCATTCCGCGACCCATTCCGCGACCCACCCGCGACCCACCCGCGTCCCGGCCCGCGACCCACCCGCGACCCACCCGCGTCCCAGCCCGCGACCCACCCGCGACCCACCCGCGACCCACACACATTGTTTAATCGAAAAATCCTGCGGCGGGCCCGTAGTATAATCTGCAAAGATTAGGCGCCTGCGGCGGGCTTCTTCAGATCCTCGCAGACTGCGGACGTCCCCGCCGACCCCTCACTCTTATCCGCAATTGCGGGGTGCTACGTTCGTTTATGTTGTTCCCCCTTGCCCTGGACACTCCGATCCTCGCCAGCGAGCCTTCCTCGTGTAAGAGGGCCAGGATGGGAAGTTCTCCCTAATTCCTGAGCCAGTCCCCCCATCAAACAGTCCCCCGATCGCAAGGACAATCCAGCCAACGGCACTGCACCAGCATCGGAGCGCTTTTAGCTTTTGCCCTCTAGGGACTGTCCAGCCTGAACGGCACTGCACAGACTCATCGGATGGATGTCATTCGCATGCGCAGTTTCTAATCACATGCGAGTGACCCCGCGCTGGGTCACTGGGGTCGCCGCCGCGTCGACGCGGCACACATCCATCGTAGATTATGATGCAATGCTGGGGTCAGCATCGGCGCTATCTCTAAAACCACCTCAATATGACAGAATCAGGCTTCACCCCCGTCTCCACACGGCCTCATTTGGTTAAGTGTATTTTGTATGTGGCTCGATAGCCGTTCAACAGCAGTTAATTTGGTTCATGATTTTTATTGATTTTGAATGTCGTTTGTATTATTAAGAAGACCTCTCAGGAGTCGCTCAACAATGCAGATCTGGCCTTCTCACAGAAGGGGCGCTTCAGAAAGCGTTTTCCCTCGAGGCGAGACGGGCCGAGGCACGCCTCAACCCTCTCCTCCCAGAGCCAGCACCTTCTCTCCGCCCGCCTCTGATGGGCCTGTTTTCCACCACCACCACCACCACAATACAAGTTGGAGGTGGAGGGGTCCTCCTCCCCCTCCTTCTCCTCCTCCCCCTCCTCCTCCTCCTCGTCCTTGGCCTCCACCTCCTTCCCCCTCCAACTTCTGGTGGTGGTGGTGGTGGAAACCAGGCCCATCTCCCTCGCCTGCGGGGCGGCCTCCTTCGCGCGAGAGTCAGTGGTAACGGTAGGGATCTGCTCGAGATGCTCAGGCGCTCTCGCTCGTTCTCGGCCTCTCAGGGGCCCCCCGGCCTCTCGGGGGCAACGGTCCAGGGGGGATGGGCTCCAGGTTTCGGGCGTTCTCGTTGGTTCTCGGCAGCTTTCCGACCTTGGAGCCCGAATCGTCCCGATCGGCCGCCGGAGAGCCGAGTTATGACCCGAAAGCCATGGAGGCAACGTCAGGGGGGATGGGCTCAGGGGGGCTCCATCGACCCCAAGTCGCCCGCTGATCGCCGCTGGGGGCGCCCCATAGCCATACCACTGCCCAGGGCCGTACGGATTTGCTGTCGGGGGGCCTGATGCCGATCGCAAGGCGATGTATCGCCGATTCAGGCTCAATGTCCCCCACCCCCTGTGAGATGGTCCCCCTCTGAGCCAGCCCCATTGCTGGGTTCTCCTCGCCAGCGGAGCCTTCATCGCGCAAGCGGGGGGCCGGGATGGGAGGTCCTCTCTGACTCGCAGTACTTCGTGCTTGCGGTGGCCACTGCCGAGGCTGGCGCCTCGCACGCTCCTTCGGACGGACATGTCGATTGCCGTCGTCGATCGATCCATTCATTCATCTATCCATGCCGTCGTCGTCGGTCGATCGACGAGTCGACCATCTATTGTCGAGTCGAGATCCATCATACCTCTTCGGAGGTAAAACCTCCCCGCTTGCCAAGTCGATCAGCGAATTGCTCTGTCTCGGTTCTCGAGGGGTAGTGGTGGTCGCATTTGATGCGGGCCTGCGCCCACCAGGTCTGGTCCTGGTCGTTTTCGAGAAAGTGCGTTTTGCTAAAGGTAGTTCTGTAAGTCGTTCCCCGAGTTTTTGCGGCGCGCGCAAGGGAAGGTCTTATATGGCAGGGTCTTTCTCACAAGGGCCTGGAGGCTTATCGGAAGGCCCCGTAAATGTCGTGACGGCTAGGTCCTGATGAGGAAGCCCCCATGCTTTATCAGAAGTCCCCCCGCCTTCTCAGAAGGCCGCCCACCTCGCGCCCCCCCCCCCCCCCTGGGGGCCCAGAGAATATACACCACCACCACGTCGATTCCTCCTCTTTCCAGCGAGAGGGAGGTGGGGAGGGAGGTGGTGGTGGTGTATATTTGTGGGCCCCCCCACCCCCCCCTTGCACGCGCTGTGGATTGTATCTGGCTGCTGGAGGCCCGTGTCTGGTGCAGGGGCCAGCTGAAAAAGCTATCTGGGGTGGGGAAAAGTGCTCGGGATGTGCCTCTGCAGTGCTCAGGGGGCTGATGTTTTGGCCAGATTCAGGTCGTCGTCGTCGGTCGTCGATCGATGGGCGTCTCAGGAAGCGTTGCTGCAGGAGGGGAAGCGAGCAGACCATAGGGAAGGGGTGGAGGACGAGTAGGATCGCGGTAATCCGAGGACCGATACATGAAGCCGGCCCGTTTGAAAGAGGGGGTCTGTCTGTTGTCTACCTAGCTACACTTCTCTTCACCACACCAGCATCGTCGTCATCGATGTCAACCCTTGTCCTCGCCAACCTCGTAAGTCGGTGGGCACCATAGCTCTCCCCTTCGATTTCATCCTTCAGGGTGATTCGGGCCCGCATTCTCCCCACACTGTCCTTTTGCCCCGCTCTTCATCATGATCTCCTCTACTCGAGTCTCAATCTTGAAGGAGGGGGAACGCGTATGAGCTGAGCAGGGTGGGGATGATGAGTGGGTTTCTCTTGGGGCCCTCTTCTGCGTTCGGGGACAGTTGAGACCTCAGATGCACATCGGAAGTGGAAAGTCCACAACATCAAAGCTTCTTTGCAACATTGAAGGGTTTGGGCCTCGAGGGCGATCCTTGGGAGGCTCTGTGGCCATTTTAGAACCGTCATGGGACGATCTTGCGACATGTGTGAGACATGCTGGAAGCCGTCTCGAGACATCTGATACTGCCGTTTGCCACTTGTGGGGTAGTGAGGGCGTCTTCAGTTGCCTGAGCCATCTCGTGGCCACCTTGGGTCAAAAAGGACGCCCTGGCCCAGAGGCGTGGTGGGAAAAGGCGAGAGGAGGGCGGATGGCCCGAGGCCCTCTGCGCTGTCCTCCTCCCCCCTGCTCGGCGCGCGCTCTCCGCTCCAAGCCCGCCTTCGCCCCGCCGGCCGGGAGGGTCGGACGAGGGAGGGGGGTGCGGGTGGATGGAGAAATCAGGGGCAGCGTGAGGGGGGAATAGGCTGAGGCTCAGGGGGGGATGTGCTCGTCAGGCGATCGCAAACGATCAAGGGGGCGTGGATTGGTGACGGGTCCCGTGTCCCTTTCCAATGGGGCATCGCGGCGTTCCGCCGCCGAACGAGGCGGCTTGGCCGCATTTGGGGGAGGGCACCTCCCCCGATCCATGGATCGCTAATCCATGCTTGCGCGCCCCAAGCTTGGGGCCCGCTGAGGGGCTGAGGTGGCCCGGTGCTGGTCCCGGCCAGCAGACAGGTGCGAGGCAGCAGCCTCCTCGCAGCCACGGCTGGACGCGGCTCGACAAGCTCGTCAGTTTAGCCCCCTGGAGGGCTCTGGGGGCCGAATTGGCGCGGATTTGCCTTCATCCCCCCCTCTTGACCGCTTTTCTCTGGGCTTATCCAGCTCAGGTGGCATGGCCTACAAAGGGGATGGGGAAAGCCTGTGGTGCAAGATCTGCTGCATGCAGCCGGTTTCGGCCCCGCCGCCGGACGCTTTCTTCGATGCACCGGCGCCTCTGGCGCCAGGAAAACCTCTTGCGTGGTCTGATTCGCTTTACGCTATCTACCACCGTCACCCTTTGCTGTACAGCCCCCTTTCGTGCGACTCGGCCTACGAGGAGGGAGGGAGGGGAGGAGCTGGCCCCGAAACGTGTTCTGGAGAGCCAGCCCCGAAGCAATGATCCTGCAGTCGTGGCTGACGGAGGCGCCGAGTGCGGAGTGGAACAAGTGGTAAGGCCGATCGGGACATGCAGTTCCAGCTGGAGCTCCAGCGGCCTAAGGCGCAACTCGCAGCGGAGAGCCGACGAGTTCTGCCAGATCCGAGGGAGCTCTGCGCAGATCGTTGGCGTTGACCGAGGCTGGCAACAAAACCTGCGCGTCCCTCAGTTCGTTGTGTTATTGTGTTTTTGTTCCTCCCCCGCCTCCTTTCTCGCTTACCGATAGTCCTGATCGTAATCTTCCCACTCTTTCGCATCCTCTTGTTCCTCTTCTTCCTCCTATTTTGGTCGATCCTTGATGGGCGTCAGCAACACGCAATAACCGCACGCCCCGAACAATAAATCATCCCCCACTTGAGACCTGAGTGTTGGCTATCTCCTGCCAATCAGTTTTGGGCTGCGGAGGGGAGCGGTGGGGCCGTATGAATCGTAGAGTGAATCTTCGTACCGCATCCATCATCATCATCATCATCATCATCATCATCATCATCATCATCATCATCATCATCATCATCATCATCATCATCATCATCATCATCATCATCATCATCATCATCATCATCATCAGTATTATCATATCATTATCATTATCATTATCATCATCATCATCATCATCATCATCATCATCAGCATCATCATCATTATCATCATCAGCTTCAGCTTCAGCTTCAGCATTGTCATCCGTATCATCGAAAGAGCGTGTTCTACCGATGCTGGCGGAAAACCGGGGGGGGTCACTAGGGGTTACCAACCCGTCCCCCAACCCCCCCCCCCTCGAAAACCGGGGGGGTGGTCACTACCAGTTCGAACCCCTCCCCCCCCAGTCCATCATGAAAAAGGGGGGGGTCAGCACCGGTTCGACCCCCCCTCCTTCAAAAACCGGGGGGGGGGTCGCGACCGGTTCGAGCCCCCCCCCCTCCCCCCTCGCCGCCGGCAAACGATTCCCGCTCCTCGGGACAGTTGAACAATGGTGGGGATGCTGGGACAGTGGTGGGAACGGTGGTGGTGGGGACAGTGGTGCGGGGACAGTGGGACAGTGGTGCGGACAGTGGTGGGGACGGTGGTGGTGGGGACAGTGGTGAGGGGACAGCGGGACAGTGGTGGGGACAGTGGGACAGTGGTGGGGACGGTAGTGGTGGGGACAGTGGTGAAGGCGGTGGTGAGGTGAGGACAGTGGTGGGACAGTAGTACAGTGGGGCAAATGGTGGGGACAGTGAAGACAGTGGGACAGCGATGGGGACAGTGGGGACGGTGGGACAGCACAGTGGGATAGCGGCGGGGACAGTGGGACAGTGGTGGGTACAGTGGGGACAGTGGGACAGTGGTGGGGACCGTGAGGGAAGTGGGAAGAGTGGGACCGTGGTGGGAAAATGGCGGGGAGAGTGGGGACAGTGAGATCCTGGTGGGGGCACTGGTGGGGACAGCGGGGAGAATGGTGGGAACAGTGGGGACAGTGGGACAGAGGTACAGTGGGGACAGTGGTGGGGACAGTGGCGGGAACAGCGGGGCAGCTCAGTGGGACAGCGGCGGGGACAGCGGGACAGTGGGGACAGTGGGACAGTGGCTTGGGCCGTGGGTGAAGTGAAGTGGGGAGAGTGGGACAGTGGTGGGGACAGTGGTGGGGACTGTGGGGACAGTGTGACAGTGGTGGGGGCAGTGGTGGGGACAGTGGGGACGGTGGTGGGAACAGAGGGAACAGTGTTGGTGAGGACACTGGTGCTGGGGACAGCAGTGGGGAATGTGG